GGGCCAAATGTGGTCCAGATCTATCATTGTATGAGTCCACAGTTCTCTCTGGATGTAGGTCAACTACAACTCCAAAACTCAAGGTCAATGCCCACCAAACCCTTCCAATATTTTCTGTTGATCATGGGAGTTCTGTGTGCCAAGATTTGTTTAATTTCATCATTGGTGGAGTTCAGAACACTCTTTGATTGTAGGTTAACTATAAATCCCAACAACTACAACTTCCAAATGACCCCACCAGTATTCAAATTTGGATTTATGATGCATTTGTGCCAAATTTGGTCCAGTGAATGAAAATACATCCTGCATATCAGATATTTACATTATGATTCATAACAGTATCAAAATTACTGTTGCGAAGTAGCAACAAAAATAATTTTGTTGGGGGTTGCGGGTCACCACAACATGAGGAACTGTATTAAGGGGTCATGGCATTAGGAAGGCTGAGAAACACTGCAATAGGGTCTGTGGCTTGTAAAGATGTCTGTGGATCATAAGTTCCCCACCACTGATTGAGGGCCCTTCTACACTGCCATGTAACCCATAATATCGTCAGATAATCCAGATTATCTGCTTTGAACCGGATTATCCGAGTCTACACTGACAGATAATCTAGTTAAAAGTGGATAATCTGGATTGTATATAGCTGTGTAGATGGACCCTGAGATAAACTTGAATGTTGACTTTCAGATGTGCATCATAAGGTGTGTGTGTGTGATTGGCATTTAAAAGAAAAGGTTTCTGAAGTCATTAAACCGGGAACACGGGAGAGGATTTGATATTGGGTAAGAATATTCGTTTGAAAACCCTCTTCATTCCGGAGATTTGTGAGGCTTTGGGAAACACACTGACTGGCGTGGGGCTGGGATTAGCCCTGTTGACCCATCAATCCTCCTCCTCCTCCTCCTTTCCGTCCCTGTTCTTAGTTCGGGTCTCGCGGGCGCTGCTCTCTGGTGACACTTTTACAATCGGAATATATACGGGTTTTTACTAGCTCTTGGGGGAAACCCGGGGGCCGAAGGGATTTTTGTTGTTGTTGTTGTATTTGCTGGCTCGTAAACCCTTTTATTAGAAGCAGTGAAGGGATGGCGGGGGGGGGGGGGGAAAGAAGGGGCTTGGCTTGGCTTGGCTTTTTGCGACCTACGGGTTTGGGGTTTGTGTATATATGTACGCAGAATGTGCCGACAACAATAATCCAGGTTTGGAATAGAGGAATACAAGGGAAGAAGGAGAAAAGAGTTAATCATAACAATGACTAAAGGGAAGACTTTGACCACTGTGAACTCAATGCTCATTCGATTGTTTTGAGGAAATTTTGTGGGACAAGGATCTGGGTTTAGTTGGGGCGCTAATAACATTTCTTTGAACTGGTTCATATGAGTCTACACTGCCAGGTAATCTGGGATAAGAAGATAATCAGGGATCAGATCCTGGGATATATCCAGCCTATGTTATACCCACCTAGAGTCAGAGGGAGAGGCTGGGGGTTGTTGTTATTATTATTATTATTATTATTAGAGAGGGAGTCATAGGGAGGAGGGAGCAAGCTTGTTTTCTGCTACCCTGGAGACTAGGAGTGGAACAATGGCTTCAAACTACAAGAAAGGAGATTCCACCTGGAACAATTTCCTGACTGTCAGAGCTGTTCAGCAGTGGAACTCTCTGCCCCGGAGTGTGGTGGAGGCTCCTTCTTTGGAGGCTTTTAAGTAGAGACTGGATGGCCATCTGTCGGGGGTGCTTTGAACGTAAATTCCCTGCTTCTTGGCAGGGGGTTGGACTGGATGGCCCATGAGGTCTCCTCACACTCTATGATTCTATTATGTATAACAAGATTAGTACACAGCAGCCAAGATCACTATGCTGGCTTTTGTATTTGATAACTTCCCAAGGGTCTACGACTGTGTGATGTTTTTAAGTGAGGCCAAGGTCTTTAGGCACTGCACCCAGTAAGCCAATAACTACTGGGACCACTTTTACTGTCTTGTGCCAAGGTTTTTGCAGTTCTATATTGTTGTTGTTGTTGTTCTTGTTGTTATTATTATTACTATTAGAAACACAACAGGATTAGTACACAACAAACAAGATCACAATGCTAGCTGTTCTATTGGATCACACTTCGGGACACTTCCCAAGTGTCAAGGGCTGTGTGATGTATCCCCGAATAATGCGTGCAGATCCGAGTAGGGTGGCCTTTTGCAGCTGACAGATGGTAGTTTTGTCAGCCCCGATTGTGTTTAAGTGCAGGCCAAGGTCTTTAGGCACTACACCCAGTGTGCCGATCACCACTAGGACCACCTTGACTGGCTTGTGCCAGAGTCTTTGCAGTTCTCTCTTTAAATCCTCATATCCTGTAAGCTTTTCCAGTTGCTTCTCCTCAATTCTGCTGTCACCTGGGATTGCAACATCGAAGATAGTGAGGTCGGGAGTATTATGCTCCAAAAGTCCCAGAGTAGTTCTACCTGTTGTTGTTGTTGTTGTTGTTGTTGTTGCTGTTATTATTCAAGAGGGATATTATTGTAATTGTTACTATTGTCACCTACCTTTCCTTGCGACTCGAGGCAGGGCACAACATAGGCCCCTCCTACCCTATTATATAAAATCCAAAGTTCTGCTCTGAACTGGATTATATGCCAGTGTAGACCAGGCATGGGCAAATTTGGGCCCTCCAGGTGTTTTGGACTTCAACTCCAACAATTCCTAACAGCCTCAGGCCCTTTCCTTTCCCCCCTCAGCCGCTTAAGAACATGGGCCTTAGGTTACTGTAAGTTTTCCAGGCTGCATGGCCATGTTCCAGAAGCATTCTCTCTTGACCTTTCGCCCACACCTATGGCATGCATCTTCAGAGGTTGTGAGGTCTGGATTGTAGGTTTTTCGGGCTATATGGCCATGTTCTAGAAGTATTCTCTCGTGATGTTTCACCCACATCTATGGCAGACATCCTCAGAGGTTGTGAGGCCTGGGTTGTAGGTTTTCAGGCTGTATGGCCATGTTCTAGAAGCATTCTCTCCTGACGTTTCGCCTGCATCTATGGCAGGCATTCTCAGATGTTGTGAGGTCTGTTGGAAACTAGGAAAATTGGGTTTATATATCATGCTAGCTATACCCGCCACGCATTGCTGTGGCCAACCTTCCCTCCCTCTTTCTCTCCTTGCTATCTCTCCTTCCTTCCCTCTTTTTCTTTCCCTTTTCTTCTTCCTTCTCTACCTGTTTCTTTTCTCGCTTCCTTTGCTCTTTGGTTCCATCCTTCCTTGTCTCTTTCCTTCCTTCCTTCCCTCTTCCTCTCTTTCCTTCCTTCTCTCCTTCCTTCCCCCTCTCTTTCCTTCCTTCTTTCACTTTTTTATTTCTTTCTCTCCTTCCTTCCTTCCCTCTTCTTCCTTCCTTCTTCCTTCCTTCCTTCCTTCTTCCTTCCTTCTCTTCCCTCCTCTTCCTTCCTCTCTTCCTCCTTCCTTCCTTCTTCCTCCTCTCCTTCCCCTTCTGTGTATATGTGTTTTCTGTGTGCATATATGTGTGTATATATTTCTGTATATTATGTGTTTGTGTATATATGTGGTTTTACATGCGTTGTAATGCATTTTTTTTGTTTTGTGGCCTTTTAAGTCCCTTCCGCTGTGTTTTTCTGTGTTTTATGAGTGATGGTCACTCGTTGGCCTGATAAGTGTATTGTGTCAAAATTTGGTGTTGATTTGTACATTGTTATTTATATAGAAGATTGGGTTGATATGTTTTCCTAGTTTCCAACAGACCTCACAACCTCTGAGGGTGCCTGCCACAGATGCAGGCGAAACGTCAGGAGAGAATACTTCTAAAACATGGTCATACAGCCTGAAAAACCTACAACAACTCAGTGATTTCGGCCATGAAAGCCTTCGAGAACACGTTGTGAGGTCTGATGGAAGCTGGGCAAGTGGGCTTTATTTATATATATATTCCATAGACATTCATTCCACAGATATATAGGTCTTTCTCCCACCCGGGACATCATTCCACAGATGGATGGATGGATGGATAGATGATAGATAGATAGATAGATAGATAGATAGATAGATAGATAGATAGATAGATAGATATAGATAGAGATGATGATGATGATGATGATGATTATTATTATGGGGGGGGGGGGGGGGGGGGGGGGGGGGGGGGGCTTGAGGGGCTTCAGCCCCCCCCCCCCGAAATTCTCATGGTGGTTCGCGAAAAGGCCTTACTGGTGCATTATTTAAACTGTTATGTTTATTCATATCATGATCTGATCACCATACTCAATATATCCCATATGCATGGGGGTATTGGGGTAATGATACAAAAGGTTTGCTAGGCTAGACCCTCTTTCACTCAGACTCAGCCCCCCCCCCAGAAACTCAGCCCCCCCGAAACCCCCCCCTGAAAAAAAATTCACCCCCAAACGAAATCCTGGCTACAGGCCTGTGTGTGATATGGATGTATGTATGTGTGTGTGTATATACACACACACACACACACATACACACATCTATCTATCTATCTATCTATCTATCTATCTATCTATCTATCTATCTATCTATCTATCTATCTATCTATCTATCTGTGGAATGATGTTTCGGGTGGGAGAAAGACCTCTGTCCCGGGTATGTGTGTGTATGTATGTGTGTGTGTGTACACACACACACACACACACACACACACACACACACACACATCTATCTATCTATCTATCTATCTATCTATCTATCTATCTATCTATCTTATCTATCTATCTATCTATCTATCTATCTATCTATCTATCTATCTATCTATCTATCTGTGGAATGATGTTCCAGGGTGGGAGAAAGAACTCTTGTCTATGTTGTATGAAAGACCTCTGTCCCGGGTATGTATGTGTATGTATGTATGTGTGTGTGTGTGTCTGTGGAATGATGTCCCGGGTGGGAGAAAGGCCTCTGGTCTGTTGGAGGCAAGCGTGAAGGTTGCACCTGATCACCTTGACGAGCACTGAAAGGCCTCTCTCCTCTTGTATTATCTTGCAGACGATCTTCCGCCGGGCGCTTTGAGGCGACAGAAGTATTTGTTTGATGTCTCGACCCTCTCGGAGAAGGAGGAGCTGCTGGGAGCCGAGCTGCGGCTCTTCCGACAGGCGCCGGGCCCTCTTTCCTCGGGGTCTGAGGCGGGCCTGGCCCGGCTGCACGTCTCGCCTTGCCTCCCGGGCCGCCCCCAGGCCGGGCGGACTTTGGCCCTGAGAAAACGCGAGGAGGAGGAGGAGGCGGCCGGCTTGGCGGGGCAGTGGCTCGTCTTCGACGTGTGGCCTGCTTTGCAGCAACAGAGGCATCACCACCGCCTTTGGAGGAAGCAGCAGCAGCAGCAGGAACAGCAGCAGCAGCAGCAGCAGCAGCGCCTCCTTTGCTTGGAGGTGCGCGCCGTCGAGGCGAGGCGCCTTCCTCCCCGCTCGCCTCTTTTGGACCTCAGCGGACTGGGTTTGGGCCGAAGCGGGCGCGGGCAGGAGCAGAAGGCCCTTCTGGTGGTCTTCTCCAAGTCGAGGCGGAAGAACCTCTTCTCGGAGCTGCGGCCGGAGAAGGAGAAGGAGGAGGCGGAGGCGCGGAAGAAGGGCGGTCGGAGGAGGCGGCGCACGGCCTACAGCAGCCGTCACGGGAAGCGGCACGGGAAGAAGGCCCGCCTGCGGTGCAGCAAGAAGGCCCTGCACGTCAACTTCAAGGAGCTGGGCTGGGACGACTGGATCATCGCGCCCTTGGAGTACGAGGCCCACCACTGCGAGGGCGCCTGCGACTTCCCGCTCCGCTCCCACCTGGAGCCCACCAACCACGCCATCATCCAGACCCTCATGAACTCCATGGACCCCGGCGCCACCCCGCCCAGCTGCTGCGTGCCCACCAAGCTCAGCCCCATCAGCATCCTCTACACCGACGCCGGAAACAACGTGGTCTACAAGCAGTACGAGGACATGGTGGTCGAGTCCTGCGGGTGCAGGTAGCGCCCCGGCCTCGCCCTCGCCCTCCTGGGAAAGGGGGAGAAGGAAAGAAAGGAAGAAAGAAAGAAAGAAAGAAAGCGCCCAGAGGAGAGAGAGAAAGAGAGGAGGAGGAGGAGGAGGAAGGGAAGGATGCCAGCAGGGAGGAACTAACTGCCAGGGCTGGCCCTGCAGGAGGAGGAGATTAGAGCAAGAGGAAGGAGCGCTCCAAGGGGCGCACACACACACAGAGAGTGAGAGGACTTCTCAAGGAAGCCAAGCCCTCTCCACAGAGATCTCTGCTTGGGGAGCTGGAAGGCCAAGGCTTGGGCCTCATCTACACCATGCCAAGCTGTTGGACCACAACTCCCAGCTCCCCCCAGTCTAAAGAGTTGACATCAGAGAACACCTTGGTATGGCCTTTTCACTGGCCAAGGTCTGCCATTTTCCCTCTTTAGGGATCTTCTAGCTGTCATTTTAATGAGTCAGGCAACCAAAACAAGCATGGGCAAACTTCAGCCCTCCGGGTGTTTTGGACTTCAACTCCCTGTGATAGAAGTGGCTTCTGTTGTTCAGAACACCAATGTGTGCTTACAAAAAGGGCCGAGCTCTTTGATCATTTTGGAAAGGCAGTTGTTTTTTTTTGTTTTCCTTAAATCCACACACAATTCTGGCCAGTGATATGAGATCCTGAATGGAGGTGCTACTGCATGCCCCACCACTGGGGTGCATCTCCACTGTAAGATTAGCACACCTGACAGCCCCCTGGATGTTGTTGTTGTTCATTCGTTCAGTCGTCTCCGACTCTTCATGACCTCATGGACCAGCCCACGCCAGAGCTCCCTGTCGGCCGTCACCACCCCCAGCTCCTTCAAGGTCAGTCCAGTCACTTCAAGGATGCCATCCATCCATCTTGCCCTTGGTTGGCCCCTCTCCTTTTGCCTTCCACTTTCCCCAGCATAATTGTCTTCTCTAAGCTTTGCTGTCTCCTCATGATGTGGCCAAAGTACTTCAACTTTGTCTCTAGTATCCTTCCCTCCAGTGAGCAGTCGGATGTACAGTGGGTTAAACAGCTGAGCTGCTGAACTTGCTTACTAAAAGGTTGGCAGTTTGAATCCAGAGAGCAGGGTGAGCTCCCACTGTTAGGCCCAGTTTCTGCCAACCTAGTAGTTTGAAGACATGCAAATGTGAGTAGATCAATAGGTACCGCTTCAATAGGTATTTTTTTAATCTCAATATTCACAAATATTCTTTTCTGTTATGCTCCACTCTCTTGTTGAGCAATTTTTATTCTCAATAAAAATAATATTTTTTTAAAAGGTACTGCTTCTGTGGGAAGATAATGGCATTCCATGCCGTCATGCTGGCCACATGACCTTGGAGGTGTCTACAGACGATGCCAGCTCTTCAGCTTAGAAATGGAGATGAGCACCACCCCCAAAGTTGGACATGACTAGACTTAATGTCAAGGGGAAACCTTTACCTTTACCTTTTGACACCACTTTAACTGTCATGGCCCAGTTCTGTGGGATTTTTGGGGTTGTCATTTGTTGAAGCACCAGCTCTCTGGCAGAGAAGACTAAAGACATTGTAAAACTACAACTCCCATTAACCCATAGTATCAAGCCAGGGCAGTTCAAGTGGTGTCAAACTGCATTAATTCTGCAGTGGTGATGCATCCTAGGTTGGTAGGTATATGTAGCACGGCTTTCTTTGTAGTGACATCCTAATTATGGATTTTCTTCCCTGGAGACACCATGATGGGAACCAAGACAGTACTATTTCAGCCTCAATCCTTAAAACCAGTACAGTTTTTTTTCTGATGGTTTAACTCAATGTGTATGTTTGCATGTGTTCAAAACTGTTTTGAAAAAAAAAATTGTTTGAAGTGTGTTTTTCTTTGTATTTGTTATTAGAAGCCATCAAGTTGCTTTCAACTTATGGCAACTCTATTAATGTTCCTGTTGTTGCTTTCAAGTAATTTTCAACCTATGGAAACTCTAATGCAAACCTATCACAGGGGCTTCTTGGCAAGATTTGTTCAGAATAGGTTTCCCATTGCCTTTCTTTGAGGTTGAGAGAGTGTGACTTGCCCAAGGTCATCAAGTGGGTTACCAGGGTTAAGTAGGAACTTACAGCCTCATCACATTAGAGCATGATCCACTTCAAATCCGGTTTCTGCCTCCTGCAGAATTCTGGAATTTGTAATTTAGTGAGACCAGGACCTCTCTGGCTGAGCAGTTTAAAGGCTTTGTCGAAGGCTTTCATTGCTGGAATCACTGGGTTGTGGTAGGTTTTTTCGGGGTATATGGCCATGTTCTAGAGGCATTCTCTCCTTGAGGATGCTTGCCATAGATGCAGGCGAAACGTCAGTAGAGAATGCCTCTAGAACATGGCCATGTAGCCCAAAGAAACCCCCACAACAACCCAGTTTAAAGGCTCCTTCCTAAACCAGATGCCCCAGAATTTTGCAGAAGGCAGAAACCAGTTTTAAAGGGTATCCATGTTCTAATGTAATGAAGTCCATAAACTCCAGTCTCCAGAGTCACAGTTCAGTGTTTAAACCACTATATCATTCTGGTTCAATGAGAGACCTCCATATTTCTCTGTTAACAACCGTTCTACCAGCTGTTAGGAATTATGGGAGTTGAAGTCCAAAACACCCAAAGAACCAAAGTTTGCCCATGCCTGAACTAATTGAATATATATATATCTGTATGAGCACTGTGGCTATTATGGTGAAAGGGTTCTGCCAGTTATAATCCAAAACAAGGTCTGTAATATGTTGTTTTGTAAGACTGTGGGAAGCTACCTTTCTACTCAGTCCATTTGGCCAAGTTAGTGGTTAACTCTGACAGGCAGGCAGAGCTCTCCAGAATGGCAAGAGGGATGTTCCCCTGCTCTTAGTAGTGCATCCATAGTGGTTTCTTAGGCGTCATCCGCACTGACCATTTAATGTAGTTTAAGCCATGGCAGTCAGACAATAAACTCCCACAAAGTGCACAAAACAAAGCTCTTTGGGGGTATTAGTGATCTTTTCTGTAATCACTCTGCAGACCTCAAACTAGTTCCAGGGCTTTCTATGTAGATATCTGTACAAGGACACAATTGGTTCAAAATAACATTAAATGGTCAGTGTAGATAGCCCCTGTTAGCCTGGAATATCAGTGTGAAAAGGCATGGTGTAGCACAGTCATGGGCAAACTTGGTCCCTCCATGCCTGATGTAGCATCTTGGAGATTACATGAACGATCTTGGTACCAGAAGCTCTGGTAGACTTAAATCTAGGTCATCCGATGTATGCCTAAATTTCAGTGTACCAAAACTCATGCTACCAACATATTCTCTCACTTAGGTTGCATGAATTCTGTAGAATTAATGCAGTTTGACACCACTATAAAAGCCATGACTCAATGCTATGGAATGATGTGAGCGCAGTTTGATGAGGTCACCACACTCTTTGGCTCAAAAGCCCAAGGCCTTGTAAAACTGCAACTCCCGTGTTTGCATAGCACTGAGCCATGACAGTTAAAGTAGTGTCAAAATGTATTAATTCTTCAGTGTAGAGGCACTCTAGGTCATCAGATGTATAGAGGGGAGTGCCTAGATTTAAGTCAACCTAGGTTGATGCTACCAACTTCTTCTCTCCCTTAGGGCATATCTATGCTGTAGATTTAATGCATATCGACCCCACTTGAACTGCCATGGTTCAATGCTATGAAAACAGTTGTTGGAGGCCTTGGTGGCGCAATAGTTAGGTTTGAATCTGGGAGAGCAGGTTGAGCTCCCTCTGTCAGCTCCAGCTCCCCATGCGGGGACATGAGAGAAGCCTCACACAAGGATGGTAAAACATCAAACTTCTGGGTATCCCCAGGGTAACATCCTAGCAGACAGCCAATTTTCTCACACCAGAAGCAACTTGCATTTTTCAAGTCACTCCTGACACAAAAAAACAAAAAACAAAAACAGAGTTGTAGATTTACAAGATCTTTAGACTTCTCTGCCAAAGAGTGCCAATACTTCAACAAACTATAACACCTATGGTTCCATTGTATTGAGCCATGGAAGTTCAAGTGGGATCAAACTGCATTCATTCTACAATGTTGATGCACCCTTTGTCTCAGTGGTGCTCCCAGATGCCTTTGTGCACATGGTCAGTTGTGTGGCGGCCCTCCAACCCCCCTGCAATGTGCCTGCACATGCACAGACCCCTCCCTGGACTGTCTCTCAGCTTGACAAAGTTCAGGTTCTGTTTTCTTTCTTTGTAGGTTCTGTTTTCTTTCTTTGTAGGCTGACGGTGGTCTCTTTCCCCAAATAGTGCATAAAGAGGATGCTGTGAGGCCCTTTCCAGGGAGCAAGGTGCCTCATGAACCTCTCTGTGTGAAAGCCTCATTGCAGAAGTTGAGGAGAAGAGAGGAGAGAGTTAGGGTAGTGGATGCCATATTCCATTTGGACAAGCCAGCCGTACACAGGTCCTATGCTTTGAGTATAAGCAAAGGGAGCATCACTGGGTGGCTGAGGCCTCTCCTTTTGTCTCTTTAAAATATAAATTATAGTTCTGGTCTAGATGTAATGACTGTTAGGACAGAGGCAAAATAAAGGCAGTGCTCCCCCCAAAATAACTCTGCTCTGTTAGATGAGATTTTCCTTCATTTTCCAAGTATCTAACATTACAGTAATTTCAGCTTCAACTGAGTATTTAGAGCAGTGTTTATCAACCTGGGGGTCACGAGGGGGGTGTCAGAGAGGTCCCCAAAGACCACCAGAAAACACAGTATTTTCTTTTGGACATGGGGGTTCTGTGTGAGAAGTCTGGCCCAATTCTCTCATTGGTGGGGTTCAGAATGCTGTTTGATTGTAGATGAACTATAAATCCCAACAACTACAACTCTCAAATGTCAAGATCTATTTCCCCCAAACTCCAGCAGTGTTTACATCTGGGCATATTGAGGATTTGTGCCAAGTTTGGTCCAGATCCATCATTGTTCAAGTCCACAGTGATCTCTGGATGTAGGTGAACTACAATTCCAAAACTCAAGGTCAATGCCCACCAGACCCTTCCAGTATTTTCTGTTGGTCATAGGAATTCTGTGTACCATGTTTGGTTCAATTCCATTGCTGGCAGAGTTCAGAATGCTCTTTGGTTGTAGGTTAACTGTACATCCCAGCAACTACAACTCCCAAATGACAAAATCAATCCCCCAACCCCACCAGTATTCAAATTTGGGTGTATTAGGTATTTGTTCCAAATCTGGTCCAGTGAATGAAAATACATCATGCATATCAGATATTTACATTACGATTCATAACTGTAGCAAAATTACAATTGTGAAGTAGCAACAAAAATAATGTTATGGTTGAGGGTCATCACAACATGAGGAACTGTATTAAGGGGTCGCAGCATTAGGAAGATTGAGAGCCACAGATTTAGAATGACAGAGTCTGGCAAATTTATCAAGGGAATGCAATACACAGCAAATACGAATGTTAAGAGTGAACACATTCCAATGTCTCAATCTCTGTAATGCTACATTTTTGGTGGCTGAAAGAGTACTTTATTTAACCTGCAGATAGAGATGCATCTAGAGTAGGGGTGGGACAAGTAGAGAGGCCGTGCTCCATATCCATTGTACATAAATATTTACCAGATCAGAACAGCCAAAGATAGATAAAGCTTGGACATGTCGTGTCTTTGAATTGCATCTCCCAGAATCCACACATCATGTTGACTGGGAGATTCTGGGAATTGTAGCCATGTCCATTAAAGATTAACCAGGTTCCTTGGGTACCAGCTTGTGAGGACTTAAGAGACAAGCAAAGAAGGTAACAGAGAGGCAACTAAAACGTTGCTTAAAAAGTAAATTCTCCAAGTGCTGGATGTAAGGAAAGTTATGGCCATTCCATTCAGTGATGCTTATGATGGATTTTGTCTTCAGCATAGCACATGAGAGACATTCAAGAGGGTTTTCAAAAGCAAAACATCCTCTTCTTCTTTCTGTATTGCATCAGTTTTTTGTTTTTTGTTTTGTCGGGAGCAACTTGAGAAACTTCAAGTCATTTCTGGTGTAAGAAAATTGGCTATCTACAAGGATGTTGCCCAGGGGGTGCCTGGATGTTTGATATTTTACCATCCTTGTGGGAGGTTTCTTTCTTGGGGAGCTGGAGCTGACAGAGGGAGCTCAACACACTCTCCCCAGATTCAAACTGCTGACCTGTCAGTCTTCAGTCCCACCAGCACAAGGGTTTAACCCAAGGGTCCTCAAACCTTTTAAACAGAGGGCCAGGTCACAGTCCCTCAAACTGTTGGAGGGCTGGATTATAATTTGCATATATCTTATTTGTAGTGCACAAAACACTTTAAAACAATACAATAATTAAAATGAAGGACAATTTAAACAAATATAAACTTACTAGTATTTCAGTGGGAAGTGCGGGCCTGCTTTTTGGCTGGTGAGATAGGATTGTTATTGTTGTTGTGCGCTTTCAAGTTGTTTCAGACTTAGGTTGACCCTGAGGGAGGGCCAGATAAATGACCTTGGAGGGCCGTATCCGGCCCACGGGCCTTAGTTTGAGGACCTCTGGTTTAACCCATTGTGCCACCAGGGGCTCAGTAATACTGTGTGTAGACACTCTGTGGAAGTGGCTGACAGATACTTCATTCTTCTGAGTTGGAGTCTGTCCAAGAGTAAGAGGGGGTTTTTCGGGGGGAGGGGATCAGCCATGCAGTCCCTTCAAGAGGTTGTTGGGGTAGGGTCAGGGGCGGCTCAACCCATTACGCAAAGTAAGCATTTGCAGTATAGTTGATTTTGCCCAGGGGCGCTCTTGAGGCACTCTTGGGGGAAAATAGACCTTGAAATATGT